ACGTCATGTAAGGTTGTTTGGACACTGATCTCACGTCCAACAAACCTTGATGATGTTGCTTTTGTTCCAGTGTATGCTCAATCCATGCAACGTCGCTTAATGTTGTTGTGCACGTCATGTAAGGTTGTTTGGACGCTGATGTCACGTCCAACAAACTTTGATGATGTTGCTTTTGTTCCAGTGTATGCTCAATCTATGCAACGTCGCTTAATGTTGTTGTGCACGTCATGTCAACTTGTTGTTTAAACACTCAAGATCACTCTCATTTAGATAATCCATGTCATAACACTGAAGTCACGTTCAACAAACCTTGGTGATGTTGCTTTGGTTCCAGTGTATGCTCAATCCAAGCAACTTCGTCTAAATTTGTTGCKCACGTCATGCCAAGGTTGTTTGAACACCCAAGARCTTGGACACTTGTTTAGATATTCCATGTGATAACACTTATGTCAAACCAACCTTGGTGATGTTGCTTTGGTTTCAGTGTATGTTCAATCCATGTAACGTCRTCTAAACTTGTTGCGCACGTTATGTCAACTTTTTGTTTGAACACCCAAGATCTTGGACTCTTGTTTAGATATTCCACGTCATAACATTGATGTCACGTCCAACAGACCTTGGTGATGTTGCTTTGGTTACAGTGTATGTTCAATCCATGCAACGTCGCTTAATGTTGTTGCGCACGTCATGTCAGGGTTGTTTAAACACCCAATAACTTGTAATCTCATTTTTAATCAATTTTTCCAAACATGCATAATTATGCAACACGTCACGTCCAACAGAAATCGGCAGTGATCGATCACGGTTGCGTTGGTTTGTATGCTTGATGCAACGACATCTACATCAGTTAAGCCAGAATTCTGTTACAGATTCTTCATGTACCACAACAGCAAAGCTGGATGTTGCTTTATTCGGTTTTACGACACCTAACAGTGTSGTGCAAAAATAGTCGTCAGTGGTTCGATACTTCCGCATCCAAAACACTCCAAAACCTCTTATCGATGTTAAATCCGTTTCGACAATCTTTAGGGCTAATCTTCCCATTTTAATGATTTGCAAACCATTAGAACAGGTCATTAATGAATTGATTTCCACTTGAACGGTTAGCCATRTCCGTTTTGGTTGTTAAGGATTTTATAAGTGGACAGCTACTTGATATGCAATCCATTTTCATTCATTACAAGCCTGATACCTATTACCTCTTTTTAGCCCAACAGGTCTCTAGACCGTTTAAGACTTCTTGCGATTCTGGCTTTCTACTTGGCTCTTCTTAAGGGACTTCAAGAACCGTCTTGCTTGCTTGGCTTAATTCCCATCCGTCTCTCTTCCGTTCGTTAGTTTACATTATCAACTTATTACAAACAGATTTCTGCTTGTTGACTGATATTAGTTGTTTGGTAATTACGTCAAAGCTTTTTAGCGACCGGTGATTTGGCAATCGCAGATTTATATCATAAGGACAAGGACACGCAAGCGGAAGGTTATTATTGCCAGGAATAGCAGGGAATACGAGAGATAAGAGACGCAAGTATCGGCAAGCTTTGACTGTACATTACGAGGCGCTAATGAGTAAAGTAAGATGATCTAAACGAAAACAAACAAACAATACACCCAAAAAAATCACAAGAACAAACCGCAAATATCGAATGGATGAAATGAAAAAGTTGGTTTGAAATTGAAATTCTTCTAAGATAACAATCAGAGTATTCAAATAATATCAGAGTATTCAGAGGACATCGCACAACCAGATTATTAAAAGAGCATTTCAAAGGACATCGCRGAGGTGAAAAAACCACTTGTTAAGACACGAAAAAGCTATCACGCTCGGCATAAGCTCAGTGCATTTGGAAAGGAAGTTCGTCTTCAAAAATGACAATGTCTGAAACAATTCTGACGGTTTTATTCGCCATTAATTCAGCGACAGGAATAGTATTCAATGTTCTTGTAGTTGTTGTAATTCTCCGTACCAACTCGTTAAAAACTCCGATGAATTACCTATTGCTTAACCTAGCCATTAGCGATATTATGATTTCAGTGTTTGTTCTCCCTCGTCATGTGTTTTTTGGTGCGTTCAACCATCAAGAAGACTCGAGGAGTGATTTCTTGTGCAAGTTTATATCTGGAGGAGTTTTTATTKGGATCGGGGCAACTGCTGAAGGCTACACACTTATAACTATAGCAACTGAACGATATCTTGCTATACTACATCCCTACAGCTTTAAGAAACGCATCACTATCAGGAAACTCAGATGGATTGTTCCACTTTGTTGGGGGATAAATACTGCGGTGAATACCCCAACACTTGCGGCTCTTTCTTACAGCAAAGAAAGGCACTTTTGCATCGAATCGTGGCCTGAATGGGTCGAGCCGAGAGCGTACGTCGGATTTGTCTTTATGGTGGGGACAAGTTCAGTCGTTGCTATGTTCGTACTTTATTCCTTCGTTATCTATTATTTATGGAAAGGGCAACATAACGCTATAGAAGCATCTCAGAATGCTCGGCTTAAAATGCGTAAAAGAGTCACCCAAATGCTAGTGATAATCACTGTATTACACGCCTGTTGTAGACTACCTAACTATACATTTTATCTTCTTGCGTATGTTGCTCCTGGAGCTGTGTATGGTTCAATGGTGTACAACGTGACGGTCTTATTTATCTTGTTTAACTCTGTTACCCATCCGTTTTTGCTTTGCCTGCATTTGAACACCTTCAGAAAAGGAATCAAACGTTTGCTGGGCTGCGGAAATTCGGTTGTTGAACCCGCAAATCTTATGGAAAGTACTGTTCAGTTTAACGCTGGAAGAATAAACTACAACTTGCACCCTCTGGTATCATTCGAGCATTCAAGTCAGTTGATTGCTAGACATTAAGCCTTCGTTATTTAAGTCATCATACATCACAAGAGTATTCTTAATAAGTGGTATTGAGCAATAATTCGAAAGCACGCACACACAAAAATTGCTGTTACAAGATACTAATCAATTCTTGCTGGGTTTCACAAACCAATGCAAAAGATGAATAATGGTGATAAAAAAATTTTGAGGAGAGCGGAAAGTCAGAGAAAGTCGAGAGTTCTGAGAGGAAGAACCTGCAATAAAACAGGAAAACAACACACTTAATTGAAAACTCAGGAGAAGTGGAAAAGGCGAAAACATTTACGATAAACCACTTTTCACAGGAGATGAAAGTTAATCGTAATAAAGTTAGAGATGTCGCAGACAAGATTGACTTGAACAATTTTTTCAGCTATCTATTTACCGACAATTTGAAGCAACGAAATTTGACAACGAACGATGTTGGAAAGCAACAGCGAGGATTGACCACTAAGATAGTAACCTAAGTCTGAGTATAAAGAAGTACTTTTGTTTACCAGATCATTAAAAAAGTGAACATTTTGTGAGACGTGAGCTACAGGAATGCATTAGCGAGGAACTCTGAATGACTAGGTCATTAATCGAAGTMTAATACGAAAAAAGTACTTTTGCTTCCCAGATTATCAAAAAAGGAAGGAATTCGTAAGCTACTGGGAATGCAACAGCGAGGAATAACCACTACGATAATTTAATCAGTCTGATACGAAAGGTGACCGTTGGATAGCGCTATCCACTCTTCGTACAACMGGACMCAGTCTGATACGACATCGCGTGGTAAAAGAATGATCTATAGAAGCAACAACGAGGAACTCAAAACAGCTGACGCATGGATGCATGGGAGAGTAAGGTCTATAAATATCTTGCAGTTTTTAAAGACAGTTCAATAGCACGAAAATGTAATACCGATCGAAATGATAAGCAATATAAATGATAATCAAACTAAACAGCTTCCAGACTTATGTATTCTATCTGATATCTAAACAGAATTACGCATTTTGAGTCCATTATATTATTGATATGATCTATGATTGAGATACCAGTAGGAATATAATGTTGTAAAAACTTTTGCTTTAACTGAAAATCGAGAAGCATCTTCACAACTCTTTTATTCCTATTTCTCTATTTATTAAATAAAAGAGTCTATTTATTCAATAAAAGAAAAAGAAAATTTGACAACAGCAATAAGCGCAAAGCAAAAGTGGATCCCGTAATCATCTAATAGTAAATGAATGCAGCGTYGAAAGGAAATGAAAACACAAGTTATGAACACATTTCCTCTTCAAGGCGTCTATTTTCACGAATGTTTACTCAAWTGTCTTAGCACCTCCAATCAAATCTATGTCAACATGATGAACGTCAAAAACTGAGCGGCATTCATAACAGGTGCTTGTATATGGGATATCTCAAAATAGGCGCTTGTCATTCTGTGTTATATGTTCCATATTGCGTGTTTGTATTATGTTTGAATATACTTTTAAACCTTTTCCGTCGCGGGGAAACTGTCAAATAAATGCATTGATCGTAATGGAARGGTATATGGCTACTCTTTGAGCAAATAATACGAACTAAACGTTCAAAAAAATGAATTGAATTGGTGATTTGCGATGCTAGAGAGACGATCAAGTCGAAATACAATGAGGTCAGTTTAAATCTTACTGACTTAAAACAGCTGAATAAACGTTTTTTCATCCAAATTTTAGAAACTTAACGGGCCACGATACCAAAACAGGAGCTTTATGATGAGAATTATCATGCATTTTTTAATTTTTCGATAAGAATTCATAAAATCGATTCTTCTCTTATTTAAATATGAAATGAAATTTATGTCTTCTCAATTTTTCTGAATTTGCGTTTTACAGTTTTGTGGCCTGTCAAGRTTGGATGCACACGCAACCTTGAGTAAACRGTCTATTGATAATYAATCTAAAATATAGTAAAAAGTATACTGTGACTGAAAATGGATTTTTTAAAGATGGAATAATGAGGTAATAGAAATATCCTTGAATTTTATCTGCACTTGGAAAAACTCATTGCGTCATTTGTGCAAAAAATTGTGACAACATGAAATATTTAAACAAAGAATTTTCTTGGATTACAGCTATCAAATTCCGAGAGAAATTTGACGGAATTTTTATTGTGTTGAAATGAAATTATTAGTATCGTGAGCTTATGAATTTTTAACTCSAAATATCAAAAGTAAACAAGTTAATTTGCATAAAACGAAAAGAATCCAAAGAAATCGTTTTAAGGACTCATTTTCGGAAGAAAAATAAGAGTAAAGTAGGTATGTGACTCTTTGGCAACGTGAAAAGTTGAAAAGCATTTACATGAGTTTTCATTAATTTTGGGTGAAATTTGAAATGTAGTTAGTGTAGATAAAACGATTGAAAGACGACAGTTGCGCATTAAATCGTAAAAAAAAAACCCATGATTCTAGTGATTTGCTACAACACTAAAAAATTGAAATGTCGTAAGCGTATTGCACTACGAGTCTATCATGACTCACGAATTGATTGTAAAGGAAGGATTACTTGAAAATACTAAGGAGGCAGACTATTCATTTTCTAAATCAGAACTACGTATGAAAATTATAAAACGGTTTTATAGACCTGTTTTTGAAATTTAAGTGTTGTCGTGCAATTAAAAACCATGTTTTCAACACGAGAGCATAAATTAATAAGAGAGCATAAAATAAATAAATAATTTTATGTTCTCTTGGTGTTTTTCATTACGTGTTGCAATTGGATAATTCACACAAAAACAAAGGGAAGCCATTCAAATGCCCAATACGTTAAATTTTTATTTTATATATTTAGTTAATTTTCTTCTCCCCTTTTTCGCTTTGAATGACTTCGGGGGAAATATTGAAAACTTCAAGATTGACAGAGCTGTTCGAACCCGAGTAATTGTCATTCAACGTAAAGATTTATGTATTTTAGAATAACACTGTAAAATTTACTTTCTCGGAAAAATACCAGCTGGAAGAAACAAAGTTAATTAAACCGGTTTATCAACTCGATGCCAAAACTGATACAAAAGTGATTAATCTTATACTTGGTACCTTTCTTTATCRACGAAGGACTAGACTAACGTCCGAGACGAAAATAAAACGTAAGATCATTTCCATCATTTCTACTTTATACACTAATGGCAACTGTTACTGATTTATTTGCTTGTTTTCTTGCATTTTAATAGTCAAATCTTATTCCAGCTATTACTGAAAACATTAAAAATCACCAATAATAGTTTTGGCGCTAGTTGTCTTACACAGGGATTGCCGGCAGTACCAAAAATATGATGTGACGCAACAACGAAAGTTTGCTTTTGTATACTGACAAACTACAAGGCATATCCTAACTCTGTTTACTCACGACATCGATACCCTAAAATCGGCGCACGGAACATTAATAAAACAAGTCTGTTTGAAA